AGCTATTGGTCTTTGATGCACACGTCCTGGGTTCGATCCCAGGCGTGTGCATTTTATTTTCTCAATATTTTCAGGATGATTCAATGTACAACATGACAAGGCCTTCACCATACATCACTAGTGTCTAAACCATCAGATCATCAACAAGCCAGATCTAAGGCCTTCCTAATGAAGGTCCACTATGGACACGAGTCAAGCGCACGCATGAGATTGGAAAAGTCAAAAGGGCCATCAGTATTTGGGCCTAGAAAATTGCAAATCACACCCCTCCTTTGCTATCTACCACATGCCCATTCTTTTTTTATTTTCTATTTCTTTCATTTATTTATTTAATTAGTTTAGTTATTTTTTAACCATAATTAATTCTTTTTTTTTCACAAAAAATCATGAAATCAAATTTCACAAATTTAGAATTAGGTTTTTTTTTATTTTTATCAAATTTAATTTAATATTAATTTAAATTTAATTTAGGTTAATTCTAACTTTTTTTATATATTTTAAATCAATTAGAAAAATTAGGGTTAGCTTGATTTAATTTTTACTTCTTTTCATAAAATAGAAAAATAGAAAAATAGGTTAATTTAATTTTTTTTTCTTAATTAAAATTAATTTGTAATTAAGTTTTTTTATTTATTCAATTAAACTTTATTTTCTCAAAATAATCACAAAAACAGAAAAAATGATTTTTCTTTTAATTAGGTAGTTGGGGTCAAAACTCTAAATCTCTCGTTTTCGATTCATCGCGCGCGTTTATTATTATTTTTTGCAATATTAATGTAACTGCTCACGGTATGTAATAGCTTAATTAGGATTGTCTTTATTTATCGTTTTTACGGGTTTTTGGCTATGTATTTAATCCCTACCCCGAAGCCTTGTAATAGCGTAGGTTTTATTTCTCGCATTTTAATTCTCGCTAATATTAACTGTTAGATGTATGTTAATAGGATTGTATGACAAGATTGCATGCTAATTTTAAAATGGCTAGAAAACCCTAATGTGCAAATATACTAACTGAAACCAAATCACTCGTCCATGCTCACTCCTAGGGTATGATCTTAAGACATTAGGGTTATTACTAAGACGTTCTAACATTGCTTTAGTGATCATATGTCCCTTGCGAATTGACCCTTACAACTCCAACGACGGTGCTACCTATTTCTCAATAGTAGGATAGCGCTGTCTAAAGGAAACAAGAATAGAAACAATCCTTTTTTGAGTAGGTAGATACTAGTAGGTACTTGCTCAAAATCAAACTTTCACACTTTCACTTTTCAAACAAAGTTTTTAAAAACAACTTCGTAACACTCTTGAGGACAGAAACAAGGGTTAAAACGAAGTAAAAAAAAACTTTTCAAAATAAACACATACAAGAAATTTTAAAAGATGAGCAAGTACCTAAGAGCCCATGGAAAACCATGGATAGAAAGGGTGCTAACACCTTCCCTTTCTATAATCTACCCCCCCGTACTCAAAATCTCGAAAAAAGAATTTTTCTGTGCTTTTTCCTTTCCAGTTGGATAAAATAAAAGTTGGTGGCTACTTTTAATTACCGCGACATTTTGCGAACACAAACGCAAAATGCAAACCAGCATTTTCCAAAACAGTCGGTTCTGCCACCGTATCACACATGGGTTTTAAGGTAATACCATATTGAAGATGGATTGGTTCAATCTGTCCTAAATATAGTAACTAGGTACTAAGGGATCTCAATATCACCGATCTTTCTCCCCAAATTTCATTCCGATAGACAATTGACTTGCCACCAAACAAAACTCAAGAGTCAAACCTCAATGAGTGTAGCATCGAGTATCAACCGACTTTGGGTTTACACCAAAGACGGCTATCTCACTACGTCCTAAAAAGCCAAGTTGGTCAATTAAGGTGCTAAGGTCAGTTGACGCTTTATGATACCACGCAGCGGCCCCATATTCTCCTTGATTACTCAAGGGCTACCGGTACACACCAAAGTATCACATCAACGTAGCTACTTGTTGCACCCCAAAATTTTCCCTCCTAATTTCTTTTATTTTGCTTAGACCTTCACATTCATTCGCATAAATTTCATTAGATCACTAACATAGCATGCACTGCATTCAATAAAGTGTTTGAGGTCAAAGTTCAGTGGTAGTGAGATATTAGGGTTTCGTAGTGGTTAAGGAGTTCGTGTCCAATAAAGGCTGATTTCTTATTCAGGCAGCAAGTTGTGGAATTAGGGTTTTGGTTCACGCTCATTTTTGGACTTCTTCTCCCTCAAGAAACAAAGCTATTATCTTTCGATGAACAACAGGTTACAGGTTTTTCTTGTCAAGAACTCAAGGGCATGACCTGGCATACATGGTCTTTGAATCAAGACATCTCCTCATATAAGTTTGCTTATCATTTGATCAGGCTTAATGACTATGACATGGCATTCATCCACTCTTCAATTAACCAAATCAGGTTTTGTTGAATCATGCTTCAGAGGATCATTGGTTGTGAAGCTAGGGTTTTCTTTTGGTTTGAGGTGTTTATCAAACAAAATAGATTCTTTTGGTTCTTCTTTATATATTGAATTGTGAATTTAGGGTTTTGATTGATTTTTATTGTGGATCTCTTCCTTATCAAGCTACAAGGATATCTTCCTCAAGGTAAGAGACAAATCCATTTTCATCATAGCGCATCTCAAGAAAATTGTAGTTCTTATGTGTGGCAATTAAGCGTGTTAAATCATCAACTGGGATTCATTGGATTTGCATGTTAAGTCTATCTTGGTAGTTATACCTCCCATGTCTCAAGTTCCATATTCATCTTCAAAGGATTCCTTGAGGGATTATTGATCTCTCGAGTTTGTTATTACTTGTAATGCAAGTTAAAGTTGCATAGGGAATTGAGGATCTGATTAGGGAAGTATCCATTCAAGTTTCTTAAGGTGCAAGTGTCATAAGTATTTCCTATAATTAAAGGTATAAGTAAATGAAAAGGTTATAAGGCAGGGTCTCAAGATTAGTTAAGGTTCTCAAGCACATGTTTGTCAAGAGTTTGATTCACACTAGTATTGGAAGAAAAGGATTCATGTGGAATTCTTCACAAGTTAACATTTGACTTATGGTTTCAATTAAGTTTGAGGTGCATTAATCAAGCATGTAAATTGAAGGATCCATCCATGATTGATCTCCTAAAATTCAAGCTACCAAGGCGAAATAACACAACATTTCAAATGTTATTCAAGGCATGATATCACTTTCCATTTCAAGAGGAAGATTCAAATTCCAAGTGTTTCTATTCAAAAATTCCAACAAGTTCGTTCATTTACAAATTTACCATGTCATTTCAATTTCAGATATCATACACCATTTTTGTTCAAATTACATGCAAAACATGTACAAATTCCATTTTGCCATTACAAGAAGACCACAAACGTTATTTCATCACCAATTTCAAAGGGAAAAGAAATTGTATATGATTATATTCAAAGTGCATCAAATAAATGAAAAAACTACATAAATATATGCCTATCTCTAACACTAATCTTCATCTTCAGTGTTCTTCATGTTTTAATTTCCCGACCGTTCAGTAACTTTTCCGTTCACATCTAATACTTCTTCAATTTTCTTCAAGTCCTCCATGATCGAGGTAACTTTGCAATTTGGTTCTCACCCTTAACGTCATGCCTGCATGCTGCATACGATTAGCAGCCATCCGAAACCAATTCAGAAATCAAAGCTTTCTTGCAAAAAGAAATAGAAAGAAAAATCAGAATTGGCAGCTCAGCTCATGAAAGGAGAAATTCAGGAAAGAATATCAAAAATATAAGCAGGAGAATAAATCAGAAGGAAGGCGTAAACATTTTCCAGTTTAGTGAATAACAAAAAATCAGGGACTCAACATATCATAATTTATAGCTCAGTATCAATCAGATCTTGACCATTCATTGTTATAACCAAATTCAGATCCAAGGGCTATTATTCATCAGGATTCTAACTTCCCTAAACTAACATAAACAGTTCCGCATCCAAAACTTTCTAATAGAAACAGTTTTTAACAAACCAAAAACCACAAACAGATAAACTAATACCTCCAACTAAGAGAATTCCCTAATTGTTTCAACCTTCTCTCCAAACATCCCTGCAAACCGTCAACCGAAAAATTGGTAACCATAACTAACTCTCTAGAACTCTAACAGCCACCTAACTATTTCTAACTACTTTTCACAAACCTATAACAGACGAAGGAAGAGAGGATTTTACGGGGGATTCATACAAAGAAAACCAGAAAAAACTCACTTCCCTAACAGCCTACAACTTCTAAGCATAACTAACTATAACCCCCCTCCAACTCCCATAACAGATTCCAATCTTGTAACAAACTTCTAACCAACTTCTAACAAACTTTAGAAAAATAATCAAAACTCTCAACAGAATTTAACAAAACTGTAACAGAAAGAGAGAAGAGGGATTCACAACCATCATTCAACACACAGAAAAAAGGCTTTCACAGAAACTCACCTTGAAGTTCCTCATTCTCCATGTTATGAAAAATCACACCAACAATCTGTAATCATCATCATCTCCACCGCAATATTGCCAAGCTTCCTCATTAATCTGAATCACACAACAAGATTCATCATCAATCTTCAACCACCTTCAATAATCTACTTCAAATATTCAAGGAAACAAGAACTGCATCCTCTCACTGATTCATCTTCAAACTCCATCAACAACTCTTCGCCACCAGCATTCAATCCCTATCGCGATGTTCTTCAACGTTCATCATCCTCTTCATCTGAAAGCATAACAACACACAGATAACATGATAATTCGCAAAAATAAAAAATAAGTTTGAAGAAGAAGAGAAGAATTTTCTGATGCTTCATTTTCGAGCTCTGGCAGGATTACCGAAATAATTCCCGGTTTTTTAGGTTGGTAGTTTCGAAACTCTCGATTCTCCCTTCTTCTTCGTCAATCTTGATGCCACGTGATAGCGTATAACGAATAAGAACCAAAACCCTAGCGCTTCAAGCATCAATTCCTCATCATTATCGCTCGATTTTCATTCTGAATCCCATAGGTCTTTTCCTCACATCTGTAAGGATTGAAGGATGAAGCCGAAGAATTGTGTGTTTGTAGTGGCCGAAGTTTGATACAGTGGCGGTGGTTTGAGATCGAGATCGCCGGAGAAGATGAGGTTATCGATGCCGATTGGAAAAATAGGAAGAGATGAGACGGTCTCATGAAGCTATAGTGATATAACCCTAATCCTATTTGTTTTTTTTTATTTATTTAATTCATTCTTTTCTTTGGTTTTTTTTAAGTAAAATCTGAAACAAAGAAAATCTTGAAAAAAATATGGTTTGGATGTTGAATTCATAATGGACCGAACCACACATCCTTGTGCTTGAATTCTTTTTGGTGACCTCTTGCTGGATGCAAACAAAAATGGCTATTGGATTCATTCTGAATTGGGCTTAGCACTTCATTATGAATTGCTGGATTATGCACCATGGTCAACAGATTGCACCCCCTGGATTTATTCTTTTAGTATTTGATTTTGACTAATTCTGTTAATTGTTTAGACTTGTTTGAATCTTCTTTACATGATAAAAATAATAAAGTCAAGTATAAAAAAATGGTTAATTTTTATGAGATTTTAGGAATTTAATCCCGATTATCCAATTATAGTTGAGATTGGTAATTCACCTGTTCTTGTTGATATTTGAGTCTTGTGCAGGTTTATTGTGTGATATGCGAATGCACTTTAGATTTCGATTGTGATTTATTTTCACATCGATGAAGCATCAACAGTTATTCCGAGCATTTGATTTATAATCCTTTTCTTTGATTGGTGAAGCTTTTCGCGAAGATCGTCGGGTTTCTTTGTTTTGATAGGCTTTGATACAGATTGATATTCGTTTGGTATTTTCCCTTGTTTATCTCATTTCAATAATTTACTGTTTTTTAGATATCATGAGAAGTAGGAAATAAATAGCTTGCACTCGAAGTCGCTGTTTGAAGACCTGTAGCAGGCATTCCGCACTTCATTTTCTATATGTGTTGTGCTTGTGTTTGTTTACTTTCTTATTGATCGATGAGTCACTCAATTAGAAATTGAGATCACGACTTCTCTCTCAGTACATGCTCCCTATAGGATTTCATTTCTTTCCTTTATTTCTTGTTGATCAATGAGTCACTCAATTTAGAAATTGAGATCACGACTTCGCTCTTATTGCATGTTCCTTATAGGATAGTTTTGTTAGACTTTCTTTGGTATGCTAGCCTAGATAAGATATCTCTAGTTATGCTCTATTGAGCTAGCTCTCTGGAGTTTATTTCCTTACTTGTTTGATTTCATCTTTGTGTGCATGTTTTGAGATGACATACCCTCGGCATGTTCCCTTAGGAGCTCTCGATTCAACTATAGATGATGATTCGAGGTAGACATAGTTTTAGGTGATAGACCCTTGCTATGCTCCTTTAGGACTCCTTGATTCATCTATAAATGATGAGTTGAGATAGACATTAGGATTTTTATCCAAGCATGTCAATCTTAGGGAAGATATTTCCCTTCAAAACTCAACCTTAGGATTAATCATTGTATGGTAACATTAGGGATAGATTTAGGCTAGCCTCCCTTAGATGTTTTCTTTTATTTTGCATCCTTGCATTTAAAACAAAAACTTTCTCTTTCTTTGAAAAATATTAAAATATCTAACAACTTCCAAATCCTTCTTCAAGGTAAAAAAAATCAACCAATGCAAACTCTTTTTGCGCCTTCGGGCTTTTCTTTCAAACTTTTCAGAAAGGACATGTTAATTCACTTCTGTGCTGACACGTAAGTCTCCAAAGGTCGAGTTGTGGTATAAGGAGAAATTAATATTGTTCTTTAAAAAATATAAACCAACAAAAACTTTTGAAGCCGAACTATGGTAGCTCTGATTCCTCAAAAAGGATACGTAAGCATTGGGGTAAGGCTCGAGCGAGCATAACTTTATTTTTTCCCTATATTCTTTTCTTCTTTCTTTTGCATGCATTCCCTGTACAGCTTAGATATAGATTCTTACACACCCTTTGATTAGAAAACAAGAGTGGATACCGTAGAGTACTACGGGCGTGTAGGGTGCTAATACCTTCCCCTCGCGTAACAGACTCCCTTACCCGTATCTCTTGTTCGTTTGACCTTGATTTCACCCTTCTCAGGTTTACTCGATGTTTACCTTTCCCTTCCCGTGGGATAAAAAACGTTCGATGGCGACTTTATTGATTTCATTATCAGTTGATTGTTCAGCCGGTTGTTTCAGCTGGCGACTTCACTGGGGAAATTGATTGACCTATTGCTGGTCCATCCCGGAGTCGATCCTAGCTCTTGTTTTCTTTTCTTTGGGTGTTTATTTTTATGCTTTCAGTTTATTCACTTGTACATGTTTATCTGAGCATATGTTTGCATTGCATTTTATTGCTGTCCATATTGATGATACTACTGTGTTGGATCTTATTTTCCATGTTGGGTGGGTGTTACTATTGAGGTAAAAGGCCCAGTACCTAGGCCAGAGTGCACTAGGACACTAGGAATAGAGTGGGGGCATGACGGCTATAGGACATGGTTCGATTAGTGCAGTCATGTCATATACCACGCTCGGATGAGGTTCAAATGAATTGCTATCGACACCCACGTCTGTGGGTAAGGCGGTAGTACTTTCAGGCAGACCTGTGATTTTGAGTTACCTTTTACCTTCCCTGGCCTAGTCTTTACCCGTGAGAAGGAGGCACTTGTTTATTACAGGTACATGTGGTGACTTTGTTCTGATGGTGACCGTATTGTTCTGTTGGTGACTATGGTTATTTGGTTACATTCTGGACCTGTGATCTTGATATATTTAACTTGGCCAGAGATTATACAATGATTATTCATGGTATTTGGTTCCATTGTATTCTTGAAGTGGTGTCGAACCTTTGATCCTGTGATATTCGGATTATTCAGCAGATTTATACAGCAGTTATCCAAAGGATTGTACAGTTGTCTTGCTGAACTTTTGAACCTATGTCATTGTGCATTGGATCATAGCATGTTTATTTTACACAAAAAGGAAATGTGAAAGATTGTATATACAAAAAAAAAGATGTTTGAACATAGCATTGCATCCACTCATTCAGTTCATGCATCTCCATGCATCTTCATGCATCCATAGCAGGTACTCAAAAGGTACTCAGAACGGGGAATCCTTATTCAGACTCGGTATTTTCTTTTCAGAGCTGCAAATCTTGACTTCTCGCCATTCTGTGATCAAATTCAAGATATGGAACAACTTCTTGGGGGAATTGGACGAGATGAAAGAATAGATGGGATTCTTGATGCTAGACGTGCAGGATTTGGTCTGAGGACAAGAACTCTTGAAAGAAGAAAACACTCAGTTGAAGACTCAATTGAATTTGGTTATGGAAATTTTAGGGACAATCTTGAAGAAAGAAGATGTTTCTATGCCCACTACAATAGGAGCTACCATTCCTCCCCATAATCTGGAGACTCTTTCAACTCAGGGAGTATCTCCTCCACAATCGTGCATTCCAGGATCCTCCCATCCGCAACCAGTTATCACTTCCCAAGAGGACCCAAAAGGCAAGGTCCGTCAGCAGAGGCCAAAACAGCCTGAACTATAATTTGATCCCATTCCAATGTTGTATGCACAATTTCTTCCTCCCTTGCTATAATTTCATTTGGTTAAACTTTGAATCTTCACTACACATGAAAAACGCCCCCATGGCTTTGACGACAATGCTAGGTGTGAATTTCATTCTGGGGCACCCGGTCACGATACTAAAGATTGCATAGCTTTTAAGCACCAAATCCAAGACTTTCTTGATGCGGGGACAATTCTGTTCACTCCAGAAGGTCTGAGTGTGCAAATCAATCTTATGCCAACTGCTACAAAGAATAGGGTTACTCCATCTCCTCTTCAAAGTTCTATCTCATGACCGTAGTCACGTCATCCAAAACCTATAATCCCAGAAAGTTCTCACCAACTACCGTTTGCAAGTTGTGGAAATCGGTTGGTTAACCAAAATCATAATGTTCCTCATGTTCATCCAGTTCGGTGTGCTACTCAGCAGCAAACCTATCAACAAAGACGTATGCAACAAGGTAAGCAAAGGGATAGGAAGCCAATGAGGGTGTTCGACATTGTTCCCGTGACTTATGGCCAATTGTTCTCTCAGTTGCTCAAGATTTCCTTGGTGGAACCCAAGCCACTGAAGCCTGTCATTCCTCCTTATCCTATGGATTTCAATCCTAATGTGCAATGTGATTACCATGCTGGGGCACTAGGCCATTCCATTGAAGATTGCAGGGCTTTCAAAGAAAACGTGCAAGACCTTCTTGGTGCAAAGGCTATCAATTTCGAGCAAGCCAGTCAAATTTGAAGTCTCCTTTGACTTTGAATGTCAAGACTGCCAGATCATCATTTGAAGTAACAAGTCCATACGGAGACTAGTCTCCTCAACATGGAAATTTCTAGCTTCATTTGTAACTTTTCTTGATTGGTTTAGTACTTTATTGTATGCAAAACTTGCTTATTGTTGAATATTAATCATAATGCATTAAATTTGTTTGTCATGAATTAATCCATTCGTATTAACTCATTAATGTTTTTCTTTGACTTTTTGATACTTAACTCTTGTTAAATAAAGCAAAAAATACCTCTGAAGGGAGGATGATGAGTAATATACCAAAAATTTCAAATGGTGTTCTTTTGAATAAAAACGCTGTTGACGATGTACATGCCTTATTTCAATTCCTAAACACCAGAGATATAAGGGAGTGAAACCCTCGTCAACCCCTTTGAGCCTTGAAGTATGAGTTTCCTTTTTGTTCAGAAAAAAGCTCACATTTAACCTGGGGCAGGGTAGAGTTCAGTTAATCTGATCGAGTGTTCAAAACTCATCAGGAGCATGCATCTTAGGATATAACAACGGCTATCCATCAAAAGGTAGAGGAAAGTCAAGACCACAATGGTTAACCCTCATTATTAGCAGTGTGCATTAAAGAGAGCTATATTCCAATGAGTATCTCTCGCACGATAGGAGGATGAAAGATGACGATACCATAATAGTTATCCTTCATCAACCAAGCGATAAGGTAGTCACTAAACTTCCAACAAGCCAAAATTTTCAGGATCACACGATTTGTTCAAAGTAAAAGTAAAAAAGAAAGAGACAAAAAGCCCCGCTAAGTCGAAACTTGAAAAAACAAGTCGCTTAGGCAAA